GGGCGGGCGCCCGAGATGCGGACGATTCTCGCCGGAGATGGCTCGAGGCGACGGGCCCAGGGGCTATGGCTCGTGGCTCTGCTCCAATGGGAGAGGCGAGGAGAGGAGGGGAGTGGGGTGGGGGAGGGGGAGGACAGGGGTGGGGGGTGGCCGGTAGACAGAACACAAGGGCTGTGGGAAAAAGTTCGAGCTGGACGATCTTTTTCTTTTCTTTAGGAGCATCTTGAACAGCAATCTATGTCCGGAAAAAATGCTCGGAGTAAATTTTGGGGTATCATACAGTGAATTTTCTTTTTCATCTCCAACAGCAGACTTGAAAATTTTAGGACACCGCGTCTCCAACAGCGGCCGTACATACATACTGCTGCGACAAATCAACATCATAAAAGGTTTTTTAGAAATGGAGGAGGACCCTCGGCCTCTGCATTTGGACGATGCATGCGGCCACTATATTAATTATTCACACAAGACCATACAAAATCATACAACAGTAAGATTAAAGTCATCGTCTAGGCAACATCTGTCGCTACTCCTATCCAGTTTTTTTGAGGGGAAGTCAGGTCGCTTTATTTAACCAAAGCTCGGAATCTCGTCTGAAATTACATCTAAAATAAAGTCTGGTGGCGAGTCCACCCAAATCTCCGAACGGTTCTCCCCTACCCCTACTTTTGCTAACTTATGAGCGGCTACATTCCCAGATCGACGAATCCACGTCACTTTGACCTCCTCCATAGACCGGAGCATGTCCTTTATCTCCTCCACCCAAGGCCCAACAGCCGACAGGTTCTTCTCCTGATCGTTGAGCATCCTGACCAGAGACTGACAATCGAGCTCAACATGCAGTCGCCTTAGCTGTAGATCATTCGCCAAACTAACAGCCTGTCTGCAGGCTAACACCTCAGCCATCTCAGGATCAACAATGTTTGGGAAGAAGTGGCACATCCCTGCTCGGAACGCCGCATGGTGGTCACGAAGGACCTCCCCTCCTCCTCCTTTCTCCCCGTACCTGGAGACCGCGCCGTCGGAGTTGATCTTTACCCATCCAGCATCCGGTGGAACCCATCGCTGAACAGTCTTTGGCTCCGGTTGTGGCGCCCTCGTCTCGTGAGATGCTTGCCATTCGGCCACCTGCATCTGCACTGTAGCTGTTATTTCATGTGGCGGTGCTATCCTTCTCCCTTCCCTTGTTTCATTGTGCGCCAGCCATAGGCTGTAGGCTGCTTGAATCATCACTTCCCGCTCGTCATGACTCGCCCGAGCAAACCAGTCCAGGAGCCAAGAAGCGAGAGCTCGCTGATTGACCAAGTATTTCGGTGGTTCCTCCAAAACGAGTCCAACCTGTGCCCTCAGCATCTCCCAAAACATGACTGAATGTTGGCATCCCCAAAACCTATGCATGATGGTCTCTTCTCGGGCGCACACAGCACAAAAGACGCCCGGCTTGATATGACGCCGATGGAGCTCAGCCCCCACAGCAAGCCCATTGCGGATCAAGCGCCACATATGAATTTTCGCCTTACCCGTTGTGCTCGTATCCCACAACGCCAAATATCCTTTATGCATTGCAACCGAGCTTGAGGATTCCGGCCGTCCGGTCCTCTCTCTGTTTAGATCCATTCGTAGATGGTATGCCGACCTGACAGTGAAAGCCCCATTGCGAGTGAAGTTCCATGCCAAGAAATCATCCATCTCCGGTCCCCCGATGGCGATTTGCTTCACATCCCTAGCATCTTCCATAGTGAACATTTGATCCACCAGCTGCTCATTCCACGTCCTTCCATCGGGGTTGAGTAAGTGAGCTACTTTTGTTATGCCCTGCAGGTATAGTTGGCCCAGCGGTTTAGTGCTTCTGCTCCTTGGGATCCAGGCGTCGTGATGAATATTGATATTTGACCCGGAGCCAACTCTCCAAACCAGGCCCTCCCTCAACAAATCCCGTCCATGCAAGATACTTATAAATGTAAAGGAGCCCGAAGATGGGCATGAGGTAGATAAGATAGAATCCTCTTTAAAGTACCTCGCCTTAAGAACTCGAGCACAAAGAGAAGTTGGAACTTGAAGAATTCGCCATGCTTGTTTTGCCAACAAAGCTTGGTTGAAAGACTTGGGATCGCGAAACCCCATGCCCCCATCCCGCTTGCTCGCACACATCTTCTTCCAAGCGATCCAATGGACCTTTCTCTCCCCATTCGTTGCACCCCACCAGAATTTGGATGAGATTGAATTCAGGTTCCGGCGCATCTTCTTTGAGAGGTGAAAACAACTCATGGTATAGGTCGGTGTCGCTTGCAAGACGGATTTGACAAGTACTTCTCTTGCTGCTTTGGACAAGACTTGCCCCTTCCAGCCCCCCACTTTGCCCTTAGCACACTCAGTAACATGTTTAAAGGTACCATCCTTGGACCGGCCAACCAGTGTTGGCAGTCCCAAGTACCGTTCACTCAGAGCTTCAGACTGGATCCCCACAATCCGCTTCATCTATTCCTTCATCCCATCTTTGCTACCTTTACCAAAGAAGATCGAGGATTTCTGCAAGTTAACCTTTTGTCCTGACGCTTTTTCATACTTCTCAAGAATATGTTTTAAGGTCTGCATGTTCTCCTTGGTGCCCTCCAGGAACACTATGCTATCGTCAGCGAATAGAAGATGTGTTACATGGGGGCCAGTGCCCCCAAACTTCACACCCGACAACTGTTTGTCAGTCTGAGCTTTCTTGAGTAAAGCTGAAAAGCCCTCCACACAAAATAGAAACAAATATGATGACAGTGGATCTCCTTGTCTTAAGCCCCGAGATGGTGTAAATCTTCTGGAGAGCCCGCCATTTAACTTAACAGAGAACCGAGCTGAGGTAACGCACCTCATTATCATGGATACCCACTGTGGGTCGAAACCAAACCGTGTCATGATCATCTCAAGAAAAAACCATTCGACCCGGTCATACGCTTTCATCATATCCAGTTTAATCGCACACAAACTCTTCTTCCTTTTCATGTTTCTTATCGCATGTACACACTCGTATGCAACCAACACATTATCCGTGATCAACCGCCCAGGTACAAAAGCGCTCTGTTCTTCAGATATCAGGAGAGGAAGAATGCCCTTTAATCTGTTCGCCAACACCTTAGTGGCAATCTTGTACAAAATGTTACATAGACTGATCAGGCGAAATTGCGAGAGTAACTCTGGAGAGTTAACTTTCGGGATCATAACGATGATCGTGTCATTGAACTCGGCGGGGGTCAAGGCCCCATTAAGAAAATCCCGAACTGCCGTACATACATCACCCTTCACCATTGACCAGTGTCGTTGGTAAAAGAGTGCGGGTAGCCCATCAGGGCCCGGAGCCTTCATCGGCCCCATCTGAAACAAGGCGGTTTCGATTTCCTCATCAAAGATAGTGGATATTAACTTGGTATTCATCTCATCCGAAACTAGATGATCAATATTCTCCAGTATCGCATGTGCATCCACCGATCCTTCTGAGGTAAACAGAGACTCATAAAACCGGGCTGCCAACTCCCTCATGTCCTCATCAACCGTGCATTTCGAGCCATCCTCTCTACGTAGAGCACGTATGGTATTTTTCCTCTTACGGTGTGTCGCCCTATTCTGAAAATATTTGGTATTCTGGTCTCCCTCCCGCAGCAGTCCACCCATGAATGTTGTCGATACAGCAGCTCCTCCCGCGCATAAATTTCACATAGCTATTTTTCTATCTCTCTGACCTCCAGTGAGGTACCCGACACATCTTCTCTACTGCGGGCATCAGCTAGCTGCTTCTTAAGTTTTGTTATTTGCCTCCTGATCGACCCAAACACCTCACGTGCCCAGCGTTGCATGCATCCCGTCATGTTGCTCAACCTTTCCCACACCGCTGCGACTGTATTCTCATCTGTACCAGCATCTAACCAGGCCTGTGCAACCATAGTGTCGTACTGCTCGTGCCTCGTCCACGCTTCTTCGAATTGAAAGGGTCTCGGGCCGCGATCTTTGGCGCGTGGAGCCGTCTCCAGCGCTCGAACCAATATGGCTTGGTGATCTGATTCCTCCGTGACTAAATGTTCCACATGTGTTTCCGAAAAGAGTTCCAGGAACTGATCTGTACAGGTGACTCTGTCCAAACGTACCTTGACGTTCTCCATCCCGTCACGTTTATTATCCCATGTGTATGGATAGCCTGAGAATCCCAAGTCTGCTAATCCACAATCCGCTAAACAGTCCTTGAAGTCTTCCATCTGTGCAAACGGACGCTGATTACCACCAAGT